TAATAAAATTTTAATTTGAATATTTCAATCAAATTAATATAAAATATATGATTATAATCTTACCTATATTATCCTCCGTATTATCATAATTGTTTGAATTTTGAGGAACTAAATCATGAAAAGTATTATTAAACTAAATCCAAAATAGAACAAAATTTATTATAATTAAATAACTTACATAGATTAGCTCTTTCTTTATCCTTATCCTCTTCTTCTATAGCAATGTTGGCAAGTCCACGGCGAATATAACTTTGGAAATATGGGCCTGTCCTAGATAAATGTGTTGCTATCTTGCCTTTCATATCAGGGTGTTGTTTTTGAAATTCATATAATTCATATATACCCTGAATAAACAAAATTTCAAATAACTTAGATCTTTGATTATTTAATTCTATTGATTATTTATTTAATTGATTCCCTATAATTACCTTTTTTGTATCTTCTCTCGTTCCAATTTTAAAGAAAATTTGAGTTAGCTGTGTATTCATTTCTTCATCTGAATCTAATGAACATGCACTACCAATTGATGTAGTGAATTTCGGAGTCATTGGAGTGTGTGATGACGCTGGGCTTACTGGATCTGAAGCATTTGACATTGTTTCAATATGACCAGGAACTTCGGGTACAGGAGAACTTCTAGTTGGTAGACAACTTCTAGCTGATGGAGAATTTCTTGCCAATGGATTATTCCTAATCGAAGCTTCATTCAAAAGTGAAGTTCTTGCAGTATCTGTAGAGGCATATGTCGAGTCGGAACCGGGTGAACTAAATGAACCAAAAGATCGGCCTGATGACATTGAAGATGAACAACCTGATATATCATTGTAAGCGATTGTTGAATTGCTAGCTAGCTTATCCTTCTTAGTAGCCTCGATCATATGATGTAAATAAGGATAAACATAACTACTTTGAGGATCTTCAATAAGGTCTAAATGTTCGTATACATTATCACCAAGACCTGTTACCAATTCAAGTAACAATGTTTTAATTGTACGTAAAGGAATTTCGCCTAGTGGCACCTTTTCTGCTGCTCGTCTTTTCCATTCAGCTGGTGGCGTTGCTAAAAAGAAACTATTGATATCACGTAATAATTGATTCGGTGAAAGGATACCAGCCTTCAAATTATCTTGAAGTGTCTTTGCTAGTTTCCATAAACATTTCATAATTAGTTCAGTAAGCTTTGTTTGTGTGGTAGCAGTGGCCGCATCAACCTCACGCAAATTATATGATGATTTTTCTAGTATTGAAATTAGAGCACTAAAAAAAAAAAAAATGAAGAAATAATAATGAGTAAATATTAATGAGTAATAATTTTTTTTAAAAATAAGAAAATTATATCTCTCACCTATACGTTCTGTTACGATTACTATTTTCAAGTACCTTAACCATTGAGACATTAAGCGCTTTTGATAATTGTTGACCACCATCCACTACTAAAAGGTTAGGATCTAACAAACGATGTGCTAGCTCAGATAATAAACGGTTAAGTGAATCTTGAGACACAGCTAATGCCAAATTCTTATTTGAAAATAATAGTACTAAAGCGTTGACAAGAGGATTACAAAGTCGAATTAAACTCTGTGATTGTTGTTGAAGCTGTGTATAAGAAATTCGAACTTGGAATGCTAAAGCATTTACGAGTCCATCTACATCAGGAATAATGGATTCAGGAAAAGTGTTCAAATGTTTGTCCAACTCTTTCAATGCCTCTATACTTTGTTGAAACTCCGTACTCATAATTTTAATTATGATAATCTCAACCATTAAAACAGAACCGCGCTTAGATGTTCGCTGTATAGCAGGAGGTAATCCCGGATAATGCGGAACATCATTTATTTCATTATTATCTGATATGTAATGTTCTGAATTATCAATTGACATATCTTTCTTAGTTTCATTCTCATCCATGGAACCGTCTTTCACACTAGGACATCTTGACAGAGGTAGTAACCCTGGAATGCCACCTCTTTGAGAAGGTGACTGGATCCTACTAATACCACTAGGTTGTGCTAATAAAGAGGGTGGTACACTTGTAGGTATACTCGATGCATTAGGATTTGTCGTAGATAATGGACTTGCTAATAATGCAGTAGGTTTATTAAATGTTGAATTGGCTGATAATAATCCTGGTGACAATTTCGCTGGTACATCACCATATATTTCATCATCTTTATCCTTGCCTGATGGTGCAGCAAGTCGAGATTTTAGGCCCGCCTTTTTAGCAACCCTCCTCGCAGCAGGGCCACTAGGGCCTGTTGGTCGAAAGGCTTCTATCATCGGCATAATTGTCTGTTTTACTGCACCTTTCAAATCACCACATCTTGCTACCACGTGATCGTATCCGGCACTTTTTATTATAGCTCCTAAACAAGCCTGTGCGGCTTTTCTAACTTCACCATTCCGATCTTGTAAGCAAGATAGAATTGGTTGAACCATGGGTGACAAATCTGGTAACGCATTCTTTTTATCACACTCTACATATTCTTTGAGACGTTCAGAGAGCCAACTCAATAGATCTTTTCTTAATAAAGGATTATCTGTTGCAAGACTTGTTGAAAATGAACCAATTAAAGGATCGAGCCCACAAGCATTCGCTAAAGCATCCAAAGTTCCAATAGCACTACCACGGACTGTTGCTTTTTTATCTGTAAGAACAGCAATGATTGGCGCCACTAATATTATAATATGTCTGTCAAATGACTTTCCCATCGCAGTAGCAAGCTTGGCAGTTATATCCAAAGCCATCATTTGCAAGTTTTTATTACTATCTGATAGCCTCTCTTTTAGAATAGGAATGAAGTCATCTATAATACAAATATTGTAAATAAGGTTATTTTGCTTTTTTTTAAAGTTTATTTATATATTAACAAACCTAAGTTCGGTTTAATTTTCTTGTTAGCATCAACAATAGCAAGAACTTGATTGAGTGCATCCTTTCGAACTTTCCATTTATCATCGTTGCATTCCTAACAATATATATTATTATATCAACTATTTACCATTAAGCAAGGATAATATAGTCACCAATTAAAGAAACTTACAGTCATCATTTTACTAGTAAATTGTGCGCTAACATCAACTTTAGGAAACAATTCTTCTATAGAATCTTTCCCACTACCACCCTTGCTTATAACATCGACCTTTTTAAATGTATAAATAGGTTAAATAAAAAATCAATATATATAAAAATGATTCTAGGTTTGAAGATACACACGCTTGTTTTTAATGCTTTCGGTGGTGCTTCGTCAGCTACTTTCTCAAATTCACTGTCAATTGCGGCTAGTTGTGCATGATTTAAGTCTTGAACAAATGTTCTTATATCTACAACATAAATAAAATATTATATATTATATATATTATATTACAATTGGGAAATATACATGATTATTTTAACAAATTTCCTTTTTTTTACCTGGTCCCACAAAAACGCGCAAAGCTCCCAAAACGATGACAGCATTTGTGCGAACAGCCGCATTATGACTGCTTAATGCGAATTTGAGAAATTCAATCAGCTCGCGCACTTGAAGAGCTGTTATTCCAAACTCCATAATAGCACCATGCATCCATGTTAAACTATCAGCTAATGTCTTAGGTGTTTTTGCTTTACGTAATGGGTCATATGCTGTATTTAAAGGTTTTATTAGTATTTTAAATATTTATTAATTTAGACACCATAACTACTAACCTTGAGAAATTACAAATTGTAAGGATATTTTTTCGGAAAAAGCCGTTAATGCGTCTCCTGCGCTTTTCTTTAATTTAATGTCACCCAACTTTTCTATCAATACTACAGTAACGAACATAAATATTATATTATATTTTGATGAAAAAAAGTTGTGATATAAGATAAACGCATTTTACGTGGTATTGCTAATGCTGCCGCTGGTTTTCCAAATGACGGAACCTTTTGACAAAGTATCTCCATTATATTAAATGCTTTTGATAAAATCTAAAATTGAAAACTTAGGTTAACACGCATTATACAATATTATTTTCCTCTAAGTTCAATATAATATAAACCTGAAAATTGCTTTCTTTCCAGCCAGGTTTAATAGAAAGAAATCTGATAAACAACTCCGCTTCTACTTCAGATGGATCCATATTTTCCAACGTTATTAGAAGATTCTCAATAGCTATATGAAAATAAAATAGTAAAAATTCTGCATAGTTCCAACGCAAATAATTTTACTAAATAACATACCTGCCAAACGTAATTTCCAATTCTTTTCACTCAATCCGGTAATCAGATCGTCAGAAATCAATTCAGCAAACTTGGACTCAACTTCTTCGCTAGTAAACTTGTATTTGATAACTTCTTCCTTCACTTTTTCATTCTTCTTTGTAGAAGCTTTTTTCGGAGGACCTCCTGGTTTTGCCGCAAGGGCGGATTTTTCAGCAGCCTTCTTAGTTGCAGATCTCTTCAACATACAAAAGCAGAATGAGTTGAACTATTCTATAACAATATCAAAGAAAGATTAAACTAACTACTCCGAAAATATGACGCACAGTTTGTCTTGGCACAGGTTTTCCATAGGATTTTTTTTGGGGTGCATCTGCTTTGGCTGGAGGTGGAGGCTTTTTCGTAGCAGTAAATTTTACTTTAACTTCGGCCTTTTCATAACTTTCTTTGACTTTTCCCTTTTTTATATCGTCAATCCCTTCCAAGAAAGTGTTCATCGCATTCTCACCAATGACTTTCATCATTGTTCCCAATCCTTCAAATGCTGAATTACGAACAGGTTCAAAACTGTCCTCAGAAGCCTTCACCATCATTTCAGTTAAAGATTTGATTTCAGCCTTTTGTGGTGCAATTTTAGTATTTTTTATACATCTAACAAGCCATTTCATTGACTCTGATTTAACTTGTGGGTTCTTGTGTTTTCCGGCCGCCAATATGTCCTCAGAAACGTCAGATATTGTAACCTGTCGAATAATAAAATTATTAAATAGTTTAATAAATAAAAAATTAGAATGACCTATAATATTTACGCTTAAAAATACGGCATCTAGCGCCGATGCCAAAGCATCAACTACAGTTTGTTTCCTTTCTTTAAGTTTTTCTATCATGGGACCTACTACCTGTATAAAAATAATACTTTAATAAGGGATTCAATATCAAACAAATAATCAATTGAACGTGATAAATTACCGTTGATTTATATTTTGCAAAAGATTCACGTAAACCCAAGGCCAACGATTCTATTATATTAGCTGCGATTGTAACTACTAGAACATTGGAATCTGACATACGCTATAATTTTAAAATGTGACATAAAGTAAGATTTCTCATTACATGATCTTAATCATATTTACAAAATACTCTCACACCTTTGCAAGGGCAGCGGTTAAATCATAATAATTATCATCCACGATCCTCGGTGTCTTACAGACTTCTAATAAACCCTCCAGAGCTTCTTTCCTTTCTTTCCATTTGGTAGAACCCTAAAAGGATGTATGATGTTATTTCAAGAATCTAATATGACAATTAATGCCGTATAATAAATATTACCAATCCAGTATAGAATTCCTTGGACAATTTTGATAGAACATCAACTGGTTCTGCTAAATCATATGTATCAATCTCTTTCTCCTCGTCTGCTTCATCTTCATCACCTATTATATATATTTCAAATTATTAAAAAGATAAATCTAACCAAATGCTTTATAATAGCACAGAGCAATACCTCCATCAGCTTCAGCCACTGCCTCTGCTGCAGCTACTTGTGAACGTAATAATCGTTCCTGTTGAGGTTTTTCTTGTGGTAATTTGTCAAATGTCTCATTCAATTCTTTGATCTATAATCAATAAATATTAATGAAATCTGAAGTTTCTAAATAACAATAAGGCAACTTCATCTTTCTATTTTTAATTTAACCTGTACTGGCTTTAATTCTGATAAATGTGGAACTATTGCTTTATTCAACCACCTATAAAGTTCTATTACTAATTGTGTTCCCTAAGGTAAATTTAAATTAGTTTATGATAACACGATAAAATCATCTTTATACAGAATAATGTATTGTATTCAGTTACCTCACTTCTCACATCTTTATCCGTGTGTGCAAATATTTTTGGTATAGTTTTGAGAATAGGCTTAACATTCACTGTTTTTGCACCGTAAAGTCTTTATATTATGTATATGTATATCAAGTAAACGATTAATTTTATTGAACTATCTATCGCATTAAATAAAAAGCAATCTAATTTTATATCAGTACCTAATTATCTCCTTAAGTGCATGAACAGCTGTGGCAACCAATTTAGGTTGTTTGGCATTTAATCCAGCAAGGACAATTTCCTAAAAATAATAAATATTATTTAGCAAATTTTATTTTGTGATTATTAATTGTAGGATATTCATTCACACACCACTATAGGATCTGGAATATCAACTTCTATATATAACAGTATGAGTTCTATTGCTTTAGATTTTGTTCCAGAACGGCTTGAGCCGAAACTCTTATCAACAACGGCCTGTATAATAGAAGCCCTGGTCCTGCAATTGAGAGGAGACTACAATATTAAGATCTTGAGCGAATATTAGGCGCCAGTTTATAAACTATTCAAATATATTTTACGCGCTAAAAACTTTTGAAGAAGGTTAGTTATTATTGACGAGAAGGAAAAAGTTAAACTTACCTTAATGGATTTGGTGCGTTATCAACAAATGCATTCAATGTCGTTAAACCAGCTTCTCGAGCGACGGCATTAGAGTCTGTCGCAATGTTTTTCATTAAGCCCTCATAAAACCTAAAGTCGCTTTCGCTATCTGAATTTTTAAATAATTTGGCAAGTTCTTCATAAGCTTCAACCCGAACTTTCCAAATCTAAAAGAACCAAAATACGAAAATATTATATCATCAATATTAAAAATGAATGAGTATTTTGAAGGGGGAAAAAAAACCTTATGTGTTGCTCGTTCATTAAGAGGTATTGATGAATAAACGTCCTCAGGTGCTGCCATTATATTAAACAGACGCGTTTTAAGAAGTATATGATATATAAAAAAAAAATGTAGAAACCCTTTGTATAAAGATATAGATATGATAATGACAAAGAGTAGAGACAAAAAAGGCGAGACAAATACAGAATAGAAAGCTTTTTTCCAACTCGCACGTAAAAAATTTATTTGGGAATTAAACAGTCTAGGCTTATACCAAATTTAGAAATCAAATCTAGAATATTCTTCAAAAGTTTCATTTCGTGTAACATTTTGAGATACCACCTGTATAAAATGAAATGAGTAGATTTGGAAATCCGGCTTTTTAGGGATTTTCTATGATCGAGTTGTTAATGTAAAGTTGATTTTCTTGTTGATTCTGTTCGGTTGTTCCATTCGATCTGCTGAAAATTTCTCTTTACCTTCCGGCAACCATTAAAGAAGTTTCCCATTAATTTATGGAAATCGTAAGAGAATAGATTATGGCACGGGTCATGAAGCTAATTTCATGGCTTGGTTGTATGTGTTTATATATTTGTTATAAATTTTTTATCGCATCTAATTCATTCAAATTAATAAATTGACTTTATATTTATAGATTATGTTTTGAAAAATTAGGATTTAAGCATCTATTATATTAAGAGCCTTTCAAAAGTGTGTTAAATGTAAATATTACTTTTTAAGCTTTCTATCATATTTTCAAAAATAAAATTATTATTTTAAATATTAATTTTTTTTTCTTTTGGTTTAAAAAAGATATATATCTCACGGAGTTTGGGGATTGGATGATTTGGGTCGTCTTAATTAATAGGTTAGGTATGAAATTAAAATCGAGGAAATTAATTAATTATGTGCTAGCGTCGGGGACATTCCATGCGTGGAATTTTTGGGGCTTTCAAGAGTCGCGTGTTCGATGTTTACGGTCTACTTGAAGCTCTTCGTTTTGTTTTCGGGCTAACGAACGCTGTAATTAACGACAGGGTTAGTAAAATTCTGCGTAACTCATAACCTAAAGTTTTCACTGCGAACATTGTTCACCAAAATCATGTGACTGGGTTCCTGAACATCTGCGCCACCACAGTTGATGAATGTAATATTGATGGTATTGGCGTTTTTTGAAAAATTCAATTGCATTTTTTTATTATTTCGATGCACATATTCAGACATTGGTTAAAAATTACATAGAAATATCAAAAACAAACTACATATGGGTTGATTGCTAGGAAAATCAGGTTCCGGGAATTTTTTAGCAAAATTGAGATTTTTATTGCATTTTAGTTTTTGATGTTATTAGATTAAAATGTATATTTAGAAAAAGTATAAATTAATGATAGAAACTTTATTCCACCGAATCTGGTTCCTCGATTTCGTTTAGAAACTTACTTTTGCTTACTATTTTAGTTATACATTCCTGTAATTCTTTATCGTTAGTATCGATTTCATATATTTCTACAAAAATATATATAAATCAGCCAATTCTCGTTAAATATAAAGGAATATCAGCTTACCCGACGAAATGTTATCACTATGTCTTATTAATTTCGTAATGCTTTTCTATCTTTGTTCTGTGTGTTATTATTAACGCTATAGTCTTCAATGCTGATACTGGTTCCATTATATTCCGATGTAGGTGACAACGAAGAGGTTGATTCCACCTCTAAACTTTTTGGTGAAGGTAACATAGATTGGATCTTGCAAGAAGATAATGATCCAAAGCATCGATCGAAAATCGCGAATAAATGGAAGAAAGAAAATGGCATTGAGGTACTTTCTTGGCCATCAATGTCTCCAGACCAAAACCCTATAGAAAATGTTTGGAAGTTGAACTGCTACTATCATTGTCGCTAACATTTCCATTATAAATCGACTTTCTACCCCGTTTGAACGTTATTGTTTTTCCCGTTATTGGTAAGTGATCTTTAATAAGATCATAGAATCAGGTTGCTTCTTTTGTTTGAAAATGTGAATGGCCCTAACTAAATTTTGAATCATTTTGTTAAAAATTATTATTGATGTTTTAAAATTCACATAAGTCATTGATTATAATGGCTACTTGGAATTTATCGTTCTCCTTATGTGCACTATTTTTATGTTTCGAAATTTTGCCTCCACCCAAGTCTTAATAAGGTTGACACTTCGCAGATTTTGTCTCCATGTGTTCCTGCAAAAAAAATGGAAAAGTCCTCTGATCTACAACAAAGAGAAAGTGTTTGTTCACTTATTAACATTAAAAATTAAATGAGATTATTTTACGGAATTGTGTAAAAAGCCTACCACCAGCGAGGGGTGGAAGAAAAAAAAAAGCCTACCACCAGCGAGAGGTGGAAGGAAAAAAAAGCCTACCACCAGTGAGGGGTGGAAGGAAAAGCCTACCACCAGTGAGGGGTGGAAGGAAAAAAAAGCCTACCACCAGCGAGGGGTGGAAGGAAAAAAGAGCCTACCACCAGCGAGGGGTGGAAGGAAAAGCCTACCACCAGCGAGGGGTGGAAGGAAAAAAGAGCCTACCACCAGCGAGGGGTGGAAGGAAAAAAGAGCCTACCACCAGCGAGGGGTGGAAGGAAAAAAAAGCCTACCACCAGCGAGGGGTGGAAAGAAATGCTCTTCTACTCACAAAGTTTCTTATGATTAAAAAAATAAAGGAAGGCACGTACTTTGTGATCAAAACTTGCGATAGAAAGAAAATAACCATGCAAAACCATTACGCAAGAGTATATATACTGTAAATACAATTTATTTTTAATATTATTAATTATTACAAATTGTACTTTTTAATTTTAATTTTTAGATTACAAATATATTATTTTTTTAAAATAGTTTTTATTCTAGAACGTAAGGTGAAAATATAGAAATTATTTATTTTTTTTTTATAATTCGTGATATTTTCTCTCTTCTCTGAATTAAAAAATGTCTAAATTCTTATTGTAACGATAACACCATAAATCTAAAGGGAAATCCCTTATTTTAAAGTTGTTAATCGAAGATTAATTAAGCAGAACATCCACACCAATAACACAAGGAGCATTATAGTTAAAAAGATATATGTAATGAGGACCAGGAGCGATTATCGTAGGATTTGGAGGTAATTTAAGAGTTACAACGTATTGATCAGCAATTGATTCATCGGGATAAAAATTTTCAATGTTAAGGTTAACATAACGCTGATTCATATTTGTTGAGTGAGTGACGAAGCCATGATGTATAATAGCTGCTTTTAAAGATGGTTGAAGATCAGATGATTTAATGTGTACAACCATAGTGATTGCTTCATCATAAAATATTGGAATTCTTTGTTGATTAGTTGGAATGTCTTGTAAAGAAACAATATTTGGACGAGGGGTCGTTGTATAAAGATAAGGTGGAGTAAAAATTTCAACACGATATCTAAAGAAAGTAGGAACGGAAGATTAGAATTTAAATTTTCTCCCTTTTTTTTAAAAAAAAAGTAAAAAAAAAAAAAAAATTATATTAAATCGAGGTTACTCACTCAGTTGGAAATTTAATGCCTAATGAGACAACGCTAGATGGATTACTTCCAGCGACAAGAACAGTACCATCAGGTAACAAAGTAGCAACGGAATGATACACTCTGGGTATGTTTGTCGAAGCAAGAGCTTTATATGTTTTAGCAATTGGATCATAATGGGTAGGGAATAATACGGGATTATCAGCGGTATATAAAGAATTGGCGCCTTGACCTTTACGAAGCCCAGCAAAACCAGTTCCAGCACCATTAACGAATAAGATAGTTCCATCCACTAAATAGGTAACATCAGGCATAACACGTGGTGTTCCACCGAAATCATCCATTTCCCATTCCGCATTTTCTGTAGTTAATGCTAACCTTCCACAACTAGCTTCACTTACTGATGTAATTTCACGATCTTTATTACCACCACAAATCATAATTGTCGGTTTGTAATTATCGATCGGTGAAAGTGGTAACATGATTGAAGTACCAGTTAAAGGATAAGATCGAAATCCACCCGGCATTTTTGGATAAGTTTTAACAGTTTGACCGGTACCAAGGTCAAAAGCAATGCTTTCTTTACTGGCGAATACAAAAAGAAGAGCTTTTCCCTCATCATTTGGAATTAAATGTACTATCGGATAAAGATTGTTTGGTAAGGTAGCAGTTAAAAATTCAAATTCATGATCTTGCATAACCCCATTTGGAGGTGGATATATTGTAAAAGTTGGATTATTTATATCAGCTCTATTAACTGCTACGGCTTTAGTTGAACCTCCGAGAATCATTAAATTACCATTAGGTAAGGTGATCATGGTAGGGTACCACCTATTTGATGGTAAAATTCCTTCTAATTCAATCCAATCTCCAATGTCTTTATCATATACGCGAATTGTTTGTAAACCACTACGATAATTAATATCATCCCCGGTACTTCCACCCGCTTCAATTAAAGTTCCATTGGCTAAGAAGGAACCAGCCGAACAGAAAGTATTTGTATAAACGGAGAGAGGTCTAGCTTGATTTGTATCTAAATCATATTCTGATGATATAGCTGCAAGCCCGTCTGATTTCTTTAAATGATTTTGTTCAACTAAGTAAATAAGAAGGGAAAAGAACGATAAATATTTATGATAACAATCAAATTAACTAAAATTGCGACGAAATAAAATATATCGAATTTGAAAGTTTACGTCTATCTATGAAGATAACTTTTTTGGGAGCCACCACGACAGCATGCATGCCACTGACACCGGAACTATTGGGACAGTTAATGACAGTTAATCAAATATATCAAGAGCTTATTTTGTACAAGCAAGCATTTTTTAAACACTAACTCTCCAACAATTTTCCATGTTCCGAGTGTAGTATTGTCAGCAGGTTCTTGACGTTCTGTTAAGGAAGAATAAAAGGGACTTTATTAATAAGTATAGAAGGTATGAGCGCTTTGAAGAAATTTTTTATACTATCATATTTAGCTTATAAATTAAAAAAAATTTTTTTTCTATTTGAAAATCGCTGTGCAACGTTTAATATAAAAGATAAACTGTAATATTTA